CATTGAGAGCTTTCAGAAATGCATTTTAAGAGAAACTTCAGAAATTAAGCTTTTGGCATTTTTGCAAACCGATACCTATTAAAATAAAATCCTCACCTATTGATTTTTGTGATTTCTTGTGGAAGAAACTGAACTCCAAATTTGTGTGCTACTATAAACAGGAAGGTTGGCTATGTAGAAATGGATCAACAAATAGCAATAGTTTGAACAGTTTTCTTTAAAAATCCAAATTATCATGCCTCTGCTTATGCTAAATAAGTTGTAATTAATTCTCCATGTAATTCAGACATATAGAACAGTTTCCTTAGGACATTCAAGCCCTTGAAAGAGATCAATTTTTTTGTTGTTGTTGTTTATTTGGTTGGTTGGTTTTGAACCTGGAAGAGGGGCTGGGGGAGAGGGACGGAGTATCCAATTACCTGTCCTAATTCTATTCTGATATTTCTAATTTCATTTCAGTTTCTAGCCTTTTGTGGGATGATACTTTAGTTAGAAGGATAGCCTTTACAATATCTTTTAAAACCAAAGATTGTCTTGAATTTGTGGTCAGTTATTCCCCCAACAAGCTAGGTCCTTCTCTAAGCTTTAGGCATGAATTTACTATTAGGTTCTAGGAAGTTGTCTCTTTTGGAATGGAGACGGCAAAACAAAACAAAAACAGAAACCATTTGGCTTCACAATGTAGCACATTCAGGCAGGAATAGTCTGAATAAGTGTGTGCAGGGTGGCTTTGAGAGTCTCTGGTCACTCAGAGAATCCGTTCACTGAAACCACCCGCATACAGTTTGTTATGATCTATGTGGTTAATCATTACATCAGGTGGCCTTTGTTAAGTGTCAGTGTGCATGCTTTAAACGTCTTTGTCCCAGATATTCCAGTTTGTCTAAAGTGTGCTTGTTCTTCATATGACATGGAGCATGGAAGAATGTATCTTAATATCGGCACGCATGTGTGCGAGTAGATTAAATCTGTTTTAATATTGAAAATGTGTGGATGCCATTGAACTTGAAGGAGTAGCGTGACTTTATTTATGTGTCATGCCAGACCAGAGCTAACTTTTGATATGTGACAGAATTTGCAAGATATGTATCAATCATGCATGTATGAATACATTTACTCAAACCTATAAAAAGGATATATACATTTCATTGAAATGCAGGTCACCTTAAAATCTGAGATTATTAATGACGCAAACATTTTTTGTTTCTGATGATCTGAGATGAGCTTTGATCAGAGTAAAAACATTTAAACTTTTCTTTCAAATCTCTTTAAAATTTTTTAAGAGATTGAAAATATACATGTGCTTTTTTTTTTAAACCACAGCACATATGTGGCTTGGTAATACGGAAACATTTGTTTACTAGACAGCAATGCCTTTTAAGCACAATAGTACAATAATTAAAATACTGAAGGAATTTAAAATCTATGGCCGGTGAGCTGAAGCTGAAGCAACCATAGAAGTTACTATTATCTATGTATATTCAGTTAAAAAAAATCCACTTTCTAATTTACAGTAATTTTTCTGTCACTTAAAATTCTTTTCAAATAGAAGAAATTGAAGAAAAAAAGAGAAAAAAGAAAAAAAAACAAACCATATCTCAAAAAAGTCAGATTTGTAAAGTTATTTCTACCTGGCTTTGACAAAGAAGGTTCTAGATTCACGTACGGCAGGAGGGAGAAACAACATAGGTTTATAGCCAATGTGCAGTCACAGGACAGGAGTCTCTCATGTAAAACTTAAGATCTCTTCCAGATCCTCAAGATCTTTGCAAGTGAATAATCTAAGAGAAGCTGATGTCTGCTGGGTGGGTGTTTCCTCAGGGCTGGCTGTTGCTGAAGCACAAACTGGAATTCTTACCTCGTATTCTGCTTTTTAGTGTTCTCCGTGTCCTTTTATTTACTACAAGAGGATCAAGTTTATTCACCGAGTGATTTTGACACCGTGATACAACTGAAATTTCCAGCCAAGTTGTTTTCATGTCTTTCTACCATTTTGTGAAAAAAAAGAAAGAAAGAAATTTGAAATGAAAACTCCAATTTAAATTGGCCTATTTACCGCCCTGGGTACCAGTTAGCTATGTGTTAATATACCCAGGCAGGGGGCCTGAGCCTGAAGACAAGGGAGCTGAGGCATTTCTGGGGCTCCTTACAAAAAATGACATCAAACTGGATGAAAACCCTCTGCAAAAGGCAGAGAAGTTAGAGGATACGTCGGGGCACAAAGAACTTTTGCTTTTCATAGTACGTGTGAAGTCTAGAAAAATGTGCTGATTTCTCACGTTCTATTTATATGTTATTTTCCTTGAGGGATGCCTTGAAGTGGTGCTAGAACCACTTCTGTGCAAAGGGGGAGGGAGGGGAAGCTTGTCTTCCTTTGTTCAGTTTGTTATGCAAAGGTGCTTATCCTGCAGTAAAAATGATGCCGTAGTGAAGATACGACAGGCGTTCTGTGGGCTTGACCAGCGTGGCAAGGTTTTAAAGGATTGACGTGTTGCTTAAAAGTCAGTCAAATCAGACCCTCAGAGAATGAAGCCATCAACCCTCATGTTGTTTTTATTTATTAGTACATATATTTTTAATCTCTCCAAAAATAACAAGCTTTATAAGCAAGAAACAAATCAAAACTTAAATCTACCCTCTAGGCTGAATATTTGCATTTCGGATTGATTGTCTTAAAAATAATAAATGAGTTTTGTTGCTCAAATTAAGAAAACCTAAGGATTGAGTGGCTCAGAAATTCTCCACGCTGTCAGGGTCTGTGGTGTTTGTCTGATAGTCTCTCCTCACAGGTTGCTGCCATGCATAGGGACTAACCTAGAATCATCAACACTTGAAGCTGGCAGGGATAGAAGTGACTTCCAAGTCATTCACTCTGATGAGAAAAAGGTCCAGGCAAGGCGGAGGAGAGAGAAGCAGATTTGGGTCTTTGCAAAATACCTCACACATTCCCCGAACCTTAGGTGGGTAGCATGTTAAAGATGGATGTCTGCTCTCTTTAGAGGCACGAGATGGTCAAATCCCTTGCTTTAGGTTTGTCTCAGATCAAGGCTGCATCTGAGCCTCCATCCTGCTAGGTCACCTTTGTGATCAAACGCTGACAGTAAGGTCCTCACAGTTACCTTCCCCCTGGTCTGCTAGAAACACTTACTGTGGGAATCTAGACCGGAATGCTGTCTTTCCCTCCACTTTGGCCCACTCATTGGTGGTACCCTGCTGGGGTCTGAAAGGAAACCTGAAAGCATCCTCCCAACTTACACTGCTCCCAGCTAGGCAAGAGTTGCTTGAGCCACCCCCCCCCCCACCCCCCCCCAAAAAAAAACCCATATCATTTGTTCAGTCACAATGAGGCAGTGCTCAATGCAGGCGGATCCAGGCAGGGAATGGCTAGGGTGCTCCTGGGCACGGGGAGGCGAAGGAGAAGCTTGGTCAGGTGCTGAGGTTCCTGTCTTCGGGAGCCTCAAAACTCCTCTTCTGCCCAAGCGGGAGCTCGGTGTTTTCCCTTACTGGCCCCATCTTCTCAGACTGTCCCTCACCCCTCTCATCGTCGTCTACTGGAAAGAGGCTGTGAAGGAAAAGCAGAAAGACATAGTTATGCCACAGGAGGGTCCCACTCGGCCGCATTCATTTCTTCATTTCTAAGAGCAGAGTGACAATACCCATCACCTCTTCCCTGCACCGTGTAAGCAGGAATGCATACGTCACCGAGCTCTCCGAGGGAAGATGCGAGGTCAGTTCGAGGTCAGTTTTAGGGAACAATACTACTACAAAAATAAGTTGTTTTTACGAAAGATTTTTTTCTATCACAAAGGCTTCCTAGAAATGTGGGTATTTTAATTTTTTTAATGTAGATCTTTCTTTCTTCCTCCCTTTTTTTTTCTTTTTCTTTTTTCTTTTCTTCTTTTAATTTATTTCCAGACAGGGTTACTCTGGAACCTGGCTGTCCTGGAACTTGCTTTGTAGACCAGGCTGGCCTGAAACTCATAGAGATCCACCTGCCTCTGCCTCCTAAGTGCTGGGGTTAAAGGTGTGCACCACCATCCGGCTTTAGATTTTTTTAAAAAAAAAAAAAATTAAATTCATCAAGGACTAATAATCTCAACTTCATTTATGTTTCCCAGCATGCCCTCACGGAAAGCAATTTCTACAGGCTGTGTGAAAGGAAGGGTCATACTCGTGAAAAGCTTACACACTCTCAGGTAGGCTTGTGGGTGAGAATGCATGTGCAATCCTTCTCTCATTGATGCCACACTTTTGGTTCCTCCTGACAAGTTTCTCTGTGCCCGTTTTGTTGAATCCAGGCTGCCCCATCCATATCACTTCCTTTGGGGATAAAGGGAGGATGAAGGTACAGCATCATCGACTTCTCAGAGAAAATCTGCTGTGTCAAGCCTGCACTGGATACTGACTTCCCCCCATTCCTAATGATGAAGAAATCAAGATCAAAGAGCTATGACTGATGTTTCCTGGAGTATCGTTAAGTATAAAAACTGGAATGACGGATCAACAGAATGACAAAAGACAAGCACACAACTCCCTGTAACCAGGGGGCGGTGGCACAGGCCGGGCCAGAGCCCAGAGCATCTCCGTGTCACTGATGTGCCCCATGTGTTGTTACAGCCACACCGTGGTGCTGTGCAAACGGGTGTGCGTGCATCCGTCCACTGGGAGGACGGTGCATCTGGGTGAAGTCCACAGAACAGCGGAATACCACTGCGCGTTGTGTTTATCCCGACACTTTAAATACTAAGATATGCTCCAACGTGTGTGTGCCTGTGTGTGTATTTGTGCGCGCGCGCGCGCGTGTGTGTGTGTGTGTGTGTGTGTGTGTGTAGCAGGGCCAAGCACCGGGTGGCTGCAGCGCCCCTATTCAGCCTGTCCACATCCCTCTTTGATGCCGTGCCACCCCACAAAAACAGTAGGACCATAGTCAATCTATTTTTTCCCTTCTTTCCCCCCTTGTTATCATGACACAGTTTTCCCTTTTAATCTTATAATTTTCATCAGTTTTTGTAAAAGGCGGTGAGCATAACAATACGTGTTTGGTAAAAACAGTTATTTGTTGCTATGTTGAATCAGAAATTAGAAAGAATTTAAAAAGAAAAAAAAACAACAACCAAAAACAAACAAGCACACACACTCACACACACACACACTCACACACATCCCGGGGGGGAGAAACACACACACAAAACCCTTGCCTCTGCATGATGCCATAGACAAGAGTCCAAAGGACATTAGCTGCTCCGTTGCACACATTGGAGAGAGAGTTCGCTGTGGGCTCTGTCTCTCTAATAGACTGGCGATTTGGTAAAAGGTTTTAGAGGGTTTTGTTTAACCATTTCTGCATGTGTTTTTAATGAGCTCATGATGCTTCGTAACAAAGGCCAGGTTGTGAGGTTTGCAGCCTTTTTTCGGACCTGATCCCTTCCCGCTGACCTGCAGAGTGAGCACCTGTGCTCCTTGCCTGGCTCACCTATGGGAGTCAAGGTGGTGGGGCCATCTCCGGGCCTGTCTTCATGCCAGGGATGAATCATGCGGTAGGCAGGGCGGAAGGAGTCTCTTTGTTGACAGCTCTCCATCTGGACTTTGGATACGGCCGGCCGTTCATGGAGAGCCTGGGTGAGCTGGAAAGGGCTGCTCGAATCAGCCCCTCCATGAAGGCCCCGGGGCAGTAAAACACCTGCAAAGGAACTGCCTGGCATTTCAGTTGCAAAAGCAGAGGAGCGTCCCCCACAACCCCAGTTCCAGGTACACAGGCTTGTGAATGTGTGAGACGCCTGCTCGGACAAGTGGGTATTTAATAGGCAATAGGATCATTTACAGCCTCCTTCAGATAATCCGACTGGAGTACACCTGAATAAATACATCAATCTCAGGTGGCTGAGCACTAACCCCTTGGAGTTTAATAATTAAAATAAACAGAACTATTGTGATGAGTTCCAGTTTTGTCATGTGTAAATGTAAGCTATCCCACACAGGATGGCGTTTCGTGATTCATACAGGAATATGATGGATAAATGATACATTTTCCATAGCTTTTTAAGAAAAAAAAAGAGATTATCTTAGTCATGGGGTAAAGTTATATGATACATTGTACCATTCAGTCTGATTCTGGGCCAGGACAGATTTTTTTTCTGTCTTTTTTTTTTCTTTTTTCTTTCTTCTTTTTTTTTTGTGAAAGATTACTTCTTGGCAAACTAGATATGCAAACGCCAGAATACAGTAAAACCACATTTAATTGGACCTACTTGCCAACTTCTTGAACACAGCTTGGATTATCCCACTGGAGGCTGCTTCTGTTAAAAGCTGGGGGAGGAGGAAGTGGCATACTGACAAGGCCTCCGATAATTTTTTTTTTCACTCGAAGTACAATTATGCAATGAGCCAAGTTTGGAAGTATTTTACTATGTTTAATAATTATTATTAAAGATATTGTAAAACATATGCATTTGTTAAGTGGAGTGTAATGGGAGTAAAACTCATGTCATAAATTTCACTTCGGATTTATTTTTCTATTTTGTGTTTTATTTGACAGCCTTCCAACTTGAGTCTAGCCCAAAGCCTGCCCTCTAATACATATCATACTTGATATTAAAGTGAGAAGAGGGTGATTTGTGGGAGCTGCGTGAGAACCGTGTTCCCCTCAGGGCCAGCCTATGTGGAGTCGACCCCTCTGTTCAGGTAACAACTGACGTGAAAACCAGTCGCAGGGAGAATGGCCGGGAAGGAGAGAGCCTTACCACGCGCTTCCAACAGCAGCTCTGAACCCGCATGTCCTGCGCATGCCTACTGTTCAAAAGGAGATGGAGCTGAGGGCAGGGTGCCTATCTCTTCGTGTGCCTGTGACTCTCGGAGGAGCCATGGTATGATGCCACTACGAGCAGCGGTGCCAATCCCAGTCCCTTACCTGGGAAGCTGGCATTGGTCTGTTGTACTTCTTGAGCTTAAAGCAAATTTGTATTATCTGCACAATGTCATTTTTTTTTAAAAAAAAAAAAAAAAAGGAGAAAATGCCCCTGAATTCCCACTTCTTGACATTGTACAGAGGCGCTATCTCTAATGATTAGCAAGCCGCTCTGGGGTGTTTGTGCCCGAACTCCACCTGCGCTGTGAAATCCCCATGATTTTTCTCACATTCCCACTCAAGCTGCCGAGCAACTGGGCCCTCTCTTCTCCGCGTGGCTGTGTCAGTGTGACTTCTGTGCGCCATGCTACTTGGTTGTTTCCTCGTGCTCCACCACAACCAATGATGGGTGTGGGAGGAAGTTGGCAGGGCACAGGAGGGCAGGGTCCCTGCGTCCATCCCCCTCCCATTCACTGGGCTCCCTTTTTTCCCAGTGGGGTGACACGCCTGCTCTGTTTTCTTAGGTATCCTTTAAACGTATCCCCAGGGCTCCTGGAAACCTCCTGCAGCTCTAAGGTTTCGCGGCGGGACTGCAGCAATATAAGGCTTGCGTGTGCTAAGAGGATGTGAGGACTTCTGAACCGCAGCTCTGGCCCCCAAGTGCCCTGCAGCTTTCTCTGGAGGGGCGCCCTTGATTTCTGAAGCATCCACAGCCTTGCCTCAGGCAGGACTGACCAGGAGCTGAAAAGAGAAGGCTTGGAAGGTCTCTGGAAAGGTCTTGCTTCTAAAAACCAGAAACCTGGAGGGAGGAAGTTGACAAGAAATCTGCCCTCTTGTTCTTTGCTGACTAAACCATGTTGTCTTGTACTAGTGCCTGTATCGTTTCATCTTTAAAATAAACCTTTTGAGCCAGATATACCTCTGAGGTTCTTTCCAGCCCCAAGTTCTCGGGCATCTTTTACCTATTTATCTGAAATGCTGATTGAACTTGAACAGGGAAATATTTTCCAATTAGGGTAGAGATGGTGGCTAACATACTGTTAGGCTTCTGAGGCTTGTGTGATCAAAGGCGTGCTTGCTCCGATAATGGCGGGCAGGGGGAGGGCTGGGGAGGGTCTCTCTTGGCTGCTGGGGTTTTAACTCAGGTTTACACATGTCAGCCATGTGCTAAGCATATGCTTTCTGGTCTGTGGTCAAGCCCAGTGGGTTTAGGGTTAATTTTTATTTTTTAACAGGCAAAACCCTAGAGATTCTAAATAAACACACAGCAAGAACTTATTTCGTTGGTTTGTTTTATCTTGTTGACACTAAGTATCCAACGCTTAAAAAAAGTGGATGGAGACAGAATCGGCCACGTTGTACATTTCGTTATGGGTTATTTTAAGCAGAACACATAGCAAGTTCGCCTCGCTAAGCGGTTTCTCCCTGTTCGTTCTGCAAAGGGATTTTCTGTCTCAGTTTCTCCGCCGAGCTTTCTTTGAACAGCTCTGCGCCACCTTGCACCACAGGGCCTTGCCTATGAAAAGGCTAATTCTGATCCCTAAGCAGCCGTCAAAGGAAAGCATGCTAAAGACTGCTGCCCTCCGATATGGGTTGTGGGACTTCAACAAGTGCCAAAAAGACACCTGTCGATCTAGAGATCAGAGGCCACATTAAATCAGACAGATTATCAAAAGAGAACATACTGTTCTTGCAGATAAGCTTTAAAATTAGAGAAAAGCAGATTCTCATTCTCTCTCTCTCTCTCTCTCTCTCTCTCTCTCTCTGTGTGTGTGTGTGTGTGTGTGTGTGTGTTGTGTATGTTCATGCAGGCCATATATCGACCTGGGTGTTATTTCTCAGGAGCCGTCCATCTTGCTTTTGATTCTTTTGTTGTTATTGTTCTGGGAAACAGGCCATCCTGGAACTCACTACTGGTGCAGGCTGGCTGGCCTCAAATGTACAGCGATTCACCTGCCTCAATCTTCTAAATGCTAGGATTCCAGGTCTGAGTCACCAAGATCAGCTCTGTTGGGGGCCGGGTCTCTTTCTAGAAGCTGAGCTTGCTGGTTAAGTTACAGGCTGGCCTCAAAGATCTGCCTGCCTGTCTCTACTTTCCCAGGGCTGGAAGGGCTTGTTATCATGCTGGATTTTTTCTTTTTAATGTGGATTCTGGGATTAAACTCCGGTCCTCATGCTTCTTCGGCGCGTACTTTATTCACCGAGCTATCTCTCCAACCAGATCCTAAGAAGACTAAATTTTTAGTTAAGAATCTCACTACACACCCGTATTTCTACTGTTCTTAATCCACTCCAGGTGGAAGAAAATTCTCCCAGAGTTTTCTGTGGAGAAACCATTCAGAAGAATGAGTGCAGATTACTTTGTGTGGGAGTCTAATTAAAATATTTTCATTTTTCTCTTTTCCATTCTGAAGTCACCAAGTAAAATGATTGAGAAATTCAAGCTTGATGCAGAAGCAGGATTGAAGCAGGGATGTGTTCTCCTACTAGTTAAAACTCTTGGGATGGCAAAGGAGAGAAATCCAACTTGAGGTAGTTGAAGCCAAAAAGGAATTTTTGTCAGAAGGCTACGTGGATTTGGTGGGATCCAAAAGTGGAATATAGCTGGGCCTGGGGAGCAGCTAGACCGCGCAGCTCAGTGGCTGTCTGGATTCGCTCTCCTTCTCTTGCCTCTGCTTCTCTTTCTGCTGATTGGCATTTTCTATTCCTCAGTCCACATGGTGGAACAGGGCTGCCAACTGCTTCTGCATTTACATGTCTTCATTTTCAGACACTCAGGGGGAGACTGACTTCTTTTTGTCAGTTGCAGTTCCCAAATCTTGGGGAGGACTCTGATTGGTCAGCTCGGATCAGGTGCCCACCTCTCCACCAATGGCCAGGGCCAAGAGTGCATCCCATTGTGCCAACAGGCAGACTCCTGCGGTGCCATATGCATGTTGAGGGGCCTGCATGTTCAGGGGGCCGGGGACAGAGGAATAGTTCCCAGGAGCCAGAGACACGGTTCCCAGAAATGAGGCCGATCTAGTCTGACAGAACAATAGGGGCCCATCATGTTTCTGGACGGAATTTAAAGGGAAACTATGAAAAGATATTTATTTGGAAGTGAGAATAATATGTTCTCCCTTGGGGTGTAACAGCAGCTAATTTCCAACCCACGGTCAAGCGCTAAGTGAAATAATGTATGTTTGATAAAGCACTGTGAAAAAATTAATTTTCGTGTCAACTCCCTGCCTTATCATTTCATAATTTTTGGAGCATTTCCACGTGCATGCCTGCGACGTCCTTACCTGGCTCATTCTGCAGAGTCCATGGAACCCAACCGCAGACATTGGTCTCCTTTACTGACCCCTGACCCATGTGCCTTATGAACCCCAGCGGTGGGTAGTCAGACAGAGCTGAGCAGAGAGAGGGCACAGCCTCTCAACTTGTCTGGGGCCCAGAAGAGAGGGTCTGTGTCCACAAAGCTCTGCCCTGGCACCAGTGAGAAAGGTGTGTTCTCCACCTAGGGACGCGGAAGCCCAGCGAGGGGCTCGGAATACTGAGGTTGAGCTAATGCCAGCGAAGTCCTCGCCGTCTGAGAGCGCAGCACACTGCTCACAGTCAGGGTGTTAGCTACTGAGCTCCTGGAAAGAAAGACCGAGCCCCGAGGAGACCCACTGTCCAGTGACCAGGAAAACGAGCCACACAAATTGGAAGACAGGCACAGGTATACCAGTCCCTAGATGCTCTTGGTCCTGTCTTAGGGTTTCTATTGCTGTGCAGAGACACCATGACTGCACCGACTCTTACAAAGGAAAGCATTTAATTTGGCCTGGCTTACAGCTCAAGGGGTTCTAATCTATTGTCATCATGGAGGGGAGGGTGATAGGACACAGGCAGACATGGTGCTAGACAGGTCGCGGAGAGTTCCACATCCGGACTGGCAGACAGCAGCAAGAGACTGCCACGCTGGGCTTGGTTGGAGCACCTAAGACTTCAAAGCTCACCCCCAGTGACACATTTCCTCCAACAAGCCACACCTACTCCAACAAGGCCACACCTCCTAATAGAGCCATTCCCTATGAGCCTTTGGGGGCCATTTTCTGTCAAACCACCACAGGTCTGATCTCTAAAGATGCAAAAGGTGAACCCTGAAGGTCAAGATGGAGAAGCAGTGACGTCAGCATTGCAAGTCTTCAAGTCTGGCTTGTAGGTTAAGACAGACATCCCAGCAGCTCCCTTCGAGTGAGACCCCAAGAATTGACACTGTTTAAATAGTGGAAGCTTTGTCTTAGTTAAGACCCTTGCTGTCTCGGGTGACAGAAAACAGACTCAGATACGACTCAGAAACGAACGGGATTTATTAACTCATGTAACTGAGGAGTCCAGAGGTGATGATGGTCTTGGTGGCAACCAGGATAGGGAGAGATGCACAAGACTTGGGTGATGGCATCCCTCTCATTCCCTCCTTCCTCCTTCCCCACATTTCTTGGGTTTATTCCCATAATTCCAGCTGAAAATAGGCTTTCTTTTTATGATGAGATAATCAAACATGGACAAAGATAGACATACCCCAACAGGTAGGGGGTGGCACCCTCTGAATGTCTGTGTTTCACTGCTAAGGAAGAGCTACCTAGGCCTCCCTTAGACAATGTGCTCCCTGGTCACCTGAGAAGGGGACCCATGCTTAGGCCAGCTTGGGGACCACACATGAGCTTTAGTTCAGGTCTTCGAGAGGTAGAAGTAGAACTAGAAAGTTCTGAAGGTCGGAACAAAGAAGACTTTACAAGAAAGTCTCACTGAGTTCTTGCTCTAGGAAAGGAACTTTGGAGTAGGAAGGCAGGAGCCTTGGGAGGTCATAGAACGCATGGCTCTTTCGCTTTGCTTCAAGACAGGGTCTCATGAACCCCAGGTTGGCCTCAAACGTCCACAGGATCTGGGTGCTAAGATGAAGATGTGTCTTTTAGTGAGCTACCATACAGCCCATGACAGACAGGCGAATAGAGAGTGTGCTCTGGACTGTTGGACAGGGCCAGCTCTTAGGGCCTCTGGAGTCAGGAAATCACAATTATTCACATGTACACGCTATCTTGTGGAAGTAGATAGTAAGGTGGCAACAGAATACCTATGCTGCTGGAGATCACGGCTGGGTCCAGGGCAGAGGAGAGGGAGCTGGCTATGGTCTCACCAGAGCAAGGATTGGACAATGTGGTTAGCTCTATGGTCACATTCCCCTTCCACTGGTTTAATGTCCCCACCATATAGTTCTTTTAATTGGTTATGATTATGATTATTTTATGTGTCAGATCCCCTGGAACTGGAGTTACAGTCAACAGACCTGGGGTAGTGGGGCAGCAGGGTGGCTGACATGGAGGGACAGGAGCTGTAGGTAGAAAGTACCATTCTGATCTGAATCCCCAAACTGCTTTTCCTGAGAAGACATCTCTGGGAGATGGGGAAAAGGTTGGGAAAATCTGGGTTCAAGTCCCAGGGCTTCCTGCCATTTCACAGATCTTTTGGAAGAGCTAAATGACAATAGGACTAGGCTATGGGTCTCTGACTTGGCACCTTGTGGGCACCCAGATGTGCTAGCTCCCCCTCCTTCTTCTTGCTTGGCCTGTCCCCTTTCCGGCTGGTACTTCCCCACGGCTCAACTGTGCCCAGCACTTACTTCTCTTTCCCACTCCACCTGCAGCCTCGGTCTCTTGGGACCTGTCCTCAGAGAGACCCTCTCCACTGACCTGGAACCTTCAGCAAATGTCTCCTTTTGGTGCCTGGTAACTGGTACGGCTGGCTGTAAAGGCAGCAAGCTGTGAGGTGGGTGGTCTGAGCACCTAGACTTTGAGTACTTGCTTAGCTTGTTCCTGCGGTGGTGGCTTCATCCTCTCTTTT